GTGTTTCTGTTCTGGATTAAAGAGGTTCTGGTGCCTGATAGCTTATTTCCTTAAAGAACCAGGAAATCGAGCCATTGCTTTATCTTTTTAACATGAAAAACAGATTGAATTCTACAAGTCTCTCACTGGCAAAGTCTTTCTGTGCCTTGAAAGGTTTTTGCAGCTGCTCTCTTCATCATCTTCAGATTTCCAAGCAACTTTAATAGAGGTGTATGGACTAGAAATGGAAAAGCATCAGCTTTTAGTCTTCAGCGAAAAGGTATGGACTCTCCCTCCCCTTTCCCATATTCCATGTTTCCTTGTCATGTACAAAGCAGGTATGATGCTGGGGTTAGTTGCTATTCAGTTTCTTCCACTTCCTAACATCTTGACTGAGTTTGTGCCCAGAAATGTTTAGGCAGTCCTGCATGCAGTAGAGTCTGGGACTATTCAGGAAGGGCTCAGGAGTGGTAGGAAGACAGGTGAGATCAGTGTGTTTGGTTTTTATTGCCTTAGTTTAAGCATAGTTTTTGCAAATGGAAACTACAAGTTCTTTCCAGAGTGCTGGAAAATTGGGTTCCAGCCGCATAAAACCTTTGTTCCAAGCCAGTTAGAATATTGCTGTGCTCGTCAAGTGTACACAGAAGGAGCTGGAGCTGGGCTGGTGGAATTACCTGCTCAGCTTTTTCTTCTGCTTGATGCTGGCTGGTTGCAGAAAAAGGCTAGAACTGGGAAGCAGCCATGAGATACTGATGAATTCCAGACACTATGCTTTCTGCATCTGATGTTTGGTGGGAAAGGTACTTTCCCAGTGGTAGAGGTGGGAGCTGCTGACTACTAGTTTTCCAATGGTTTATTGATGGCGAGGTCTGCGTTGTTTGCAGTTTGTGTGTATACGGTTGTATAGCTGACTGATCAAGTGGCTGAGAGCGGGCACTGGGACACGTGCTGAGAGCGGGCACTGGGACACGCCAAGACCGGCCGGGGCTCTGCTGGACCAAAAGGCTTGGCCTCAGCAAACGTGTCCTTTCTCCTGAGCTCCAGAGCAAGGAAATATCATTTTCTGTCTGGACAGGCAAAGTTTTCTTTTTCATTAGCTAATGCACTGTAATAGGTTAGCTCCAGGCTTGATGGCTTTATCCAGCTGTTTCTTAGGCAGGACTGAGAAGAGAATGGGTATTGCATGGCAGCGGTTCACGGCTCAGGGGGGATGTCTGTATCACTGATGGGAGCCCCTCTGCGAGGGCCAACATGTTGGCAGTGCAGCGAGCGCAGTGCAGCGAGCGCGGACCGCGGTGCAGTGAGCGCGGTGAATGGGGGAGCACCCTGAGCCTTGCAGGACCTTGCTGCAGTCTGCGGCTCAAGAGGGGAGCTTGATCAGCTGGGGCAGGGCAGAAGAGCTGGCTTGTGCAGTAACCATTACAGAAAGAGTTACGCCAATGAGATCTTGTATTGTAGAGTCTGTGTGGGTGTTGGCAGCCCTTCAGTGGCTGTGGTGCATGCAGTAAAAGGCAGGAAGCATCCCTCAGTCAGGCTGCTTGCTGAGAATCAGATAATGATGCCATTTCCAGGGTCGGGGGCTGAGACTTCTGGAAGTTGTTTGTGGAACAGCTGGGCAGCTGGCTGTGGAAGCAGATCTTGTGAGGGCTGGCTGGAAATCAGATGGTGAATAAACCGCTCCTTGCCGGAGGTTCAGACCACTGGGGGTCACAGTGGTAGAGTTTGGGCCATCAAGGATGAATGCCCTGAGGGGCCTTTGTGCTTCCAGAGGACTTGGGTGCGGAGAGAGCACTGTTCACCCTGCAAGACACTCTCTCAGGCAATTCCTCTGCAGCAGGTTACATTTTCCCCGTGGGAACAATACTCTGAATTTCTTGAGCTTGTTTGGGCGTAAAATCTGAATTAGGCACTAAGTGCAAGTTTGGAGACTTGGAGTCTGTTCCTGCCTCTGTCACTGTGACATCTTTGGGCAAACTTGGGGCTCATTTCTCAGATCTCAGTTTCCATGTATATAAAATTGGGGTTGTCTATGGAATGAGCTCACCCAAACTTGTTAAGCTCATTGCAAATGGTGCATGAACGCCAGCGTTGCAGGGCTATTGGCATTCCCTTATACAGGGGTTGTGTTTCGCAGTCTGGAGCGCTACACGCAGCTGGAAGCAAACCTAGCCCTAGTGACCAGTGTCCTGTGGCTAGTGCTAGCAAAGCACATCTCTGGCTGTGCAGGACATGGCCTGGTTTACATCCCCGCATCCCTGGAAAGCCAGCTGGGGCTGGAGGCCTTCAGGAGGGGGCAGTGCTTAGTACTATGCTGCAAGCCGCTCAGTGCTGGACAGGGTGCTCACCTCCGGGATGGCATCCTGGGAGCCTCCACAATCAAACACCCTCATGAGCGGCCAAGCCTGCACCCCATCGCCACATCCCCGTTCACTAACACAGAGCCACCTCCTCCCTCGTCTTCCCGCAGCGAGGTCAAACTCCAGGAGCCATGGAGGTACCAGCACCATATCATGGCCAGGGAGCTGGGAATAACCTGCACTGGGGCTGGGAAGAGGCCAGAGCATACTGCTGCCCAGCAAGTCCCGGTGGGGTGATGACCCTCTGTAGAGCCATGCCAGCTTAGGTTAAACCCTGTCCTCCTCACTGGCCATTGTTTTTTGCACCAGTGCAATCTACCCTGAGCTCTTCCAGCTTGAGGTGCACCCCAGGGCAGCACGGAGGGCTCAGGTTGCCCTGGAGTACAGCAGGTCTCCCCATAGGGCAAAGGTGGGCTTCTTGCCTTGCAGAGCTTGTCTGCTCTGTCCTCCTTGCTGTTTTGCCTCCTTCCGGGATCCTCCTTGCTCCCAGCCAGGGAGCCCCTGGGCCTGAGAGGGAGAGCAGGGAGACCTGGCAATAGGCTGAAGCAGAGAGACCGAGGGCAGAAGGGCTGGCACAGAGCTGGGCATCCTTTTTGCGTGGTTTTGGACAAGAGCTCTGGGAGGGCAAAGAAGGGGAAGGGGCAGGCAGAGGGGTCTGTCTCTGCTGCCTTTGTGTCACTTGTTGGTGCTGGAGGAAGTCCTCCCTGCTAGGGAGAGAAAGCAGCTTCAAATGCTCTTCATGGGCAGGGCAACCTCCCCTCTCTTCCCACCGCCCTCTCTCTTCAGGGCCCATCTGGTAAAGCCTGTCACAAGCCCTTCCCTGCATCCAGTTCTGCTCTGGTCAGCGGCCAAGGGACCAGCAGTGTCCCTGCTGCTCTTTTCCCTCCCCCGGGGGAGGGGGACGCAGGCAGCAGAGCTTTGATGTGCGGGCACAGGGCTAGCGGACAGGCCTATGTGTGTGCTCATGAGAGCCTGGCCTGGCTCCAGCTGCCTTTGAAGTGCTCCAGTGATCAGGATGAAAGGGAGGGGAGTCCTTCCCCGAACCATCTGGCTCTAATTGCAGGTAGAAATGCCTCTCTGCATCTCCCGTGGGGAGGGGCGCTCCGCTCTCTTCGTTAATCCTGCAGCTCTTGTCCGGGCTGGCGCAAGGGGCGAGAACTTGGGAACAAAGCAGGTTTCAGCTGGGCAGCCAGAAAAAGCAGCTGCTCATGGAGATGCTGTGAATTTGGGCACCTCCGCTCCGAATGTCAAGCCTTAGGGCCCTGCAAACCTTCTCAGGGACGGCTGTGCCTTGGCCCGGGGAGGGGGGGCTTTACCATTTGTTCCTGTCTCCGATTTCTCGGATGCACTGAAGCCTGCTGTCCCTTTGACTCGCGCCCTTTCATGCCAGTGTGCGTCGAGTGCAGAAATGAGTAACGTGGGAACCCGGCGCGAGCTGTTCCATTTGGCAGGGTTTATCCGGCCGCTTCCCCGCTGCCGGCCCAGCCACACCGCACCCCCGGCCACGCTCCCCTTCCCCAGGCAGCGCGCTCCTGCTGCACTTCCCAGGCAGGGCTTGGACAGCTGAGGCCAGCGAAACGCTGTGTGCCGCTGAGATAACAGGGCTAACTGGGCAAGAGCAGAGTTATTGGCCCTGCTGACAAGTAAGTTATGTTATCATATTTGGCTAGAGAGGGGAGACATTTTCCTTTTCCCAAGGAAATGCGTATACAGCTTGGGTGCATCTATCAGCAATTTCTTTTTGTCCTTGTAGTAGCCCTTGAGCAGCATCTTAAATCTAACTTGAACCTAAATCTGTGTTGCTTGAAATAAATTGTCTGCAGCAATACTGACACCTCACAACAATTTATCTAGGTGAAGTTTTCCCTCTTGTTACAAATCCCAGCATGTGAGTCTTGCTCTGGTACTGCCGTGACTGTTAATAACCTTTGCGGTTACCCATTTCCCGGTGACGGCAATTGTGACCGTGCCTCACAGTGAAAATGCTTTCAGCCACTGCCTCTGTGTGTATGTGGGGACAGGGAAGGTTTCTTTTCCCACCAGATGTGACACTGAACACCTGGCCAGGTGTGAATGAAAAGCATTTGGGCTTCTCCAGATCTATCCGTAGCTGCCTCCAGAGCTGCTGAGACCAGGAGACTGTCAGGAAGGGAAAGCGGGAAGAGCAGAAGGAGAAAGCCAGACGAGATGGGGCAATGGGATAGCAGAGATGTGAGAAGACGGAGTGTCCCCTGGGATGAGAATCGCTAGCCTGAGTAGACCTGTAGGTTGCTCAGGTGCAGCAGGGACATAGCAGGACTGCAAGCCCCAGGCTGCCCCCGCAACAGTCCAGGCCATGGAGTATTAAACCCAATTTATTAACTCATTAATCACTGACCTGCTCTGATGTTGCAATGAGATGGGGCAGAGGAACCATCTGGTGCTGAGGACTGGATCTAATGCAGCAGTTTAGGTGAGCTGGACTTATTGAACATGTTTTGTTGCCTCCTGCTGATGCCAATCTTCAGTACAGGCAAGGGGAGCCTGGGAGCCCTGGCGGGTCCTGGCAGGGTGTGCGCCGACCTGCTGCCTTAGCTGGGCAGCTGCTTGCGCCCAGCTCAGCCGCTCTGCAGGAGATATCTGGGGGAACGAGGGACCTGTCCTCACTGCCTCTTCCCTATCCAGGTCTCTGCCTCAACTGATCCCCATTCGGCTGGGGACGAGGAGCTGCCCCCGTCAGGCAAGGCACGGGGCCTGAGGAGGAGCGGGCAGGCTGGCCCGCGGCGACACAGACGCCGCTGGGCAGCTCAGCAGGCTGCGAGGAGCCCGGCGGCGCCCCAGCCCGGTGGTGCCGGCCGGGAGGAGAGCCTGCCCTTCGTGCTGGACCTGCAGAGCTTGCCGGGGCTGGCCAATGTCGACCTGAGCGCCCAGAACCCAAATATCCAGGTGGGCAGCAGGCCTGGGCAGGCCACGGGGTGCTGTGAGCTAGCCACTGCTTGTGCTCCCTCTTAGGTGCAAATAGCTGGCACTGATAAACTCCTTGCAGAAGGAGTTATTCATGGCCTTTCTCCCTGCCCTGCAGAGCCCCTCTCCATAGAGCAGGGGTAAAAGGCTCTAAGAGGACAATCTCTCCGTGCCTGCATGTTTTGTCTAAGCGCTCACTCCCTGCTGTTTCAGTGACTACCAGACACCTTTGCCAATCTGCTGAGCTGCTGCAATTGGTGCCTCCCACTCTGCCCCTCCTCAGTCCCTCCAGATGAGATGAGACCTGTCATGCTCATTGCACTAGTCCCATAGACCAAAGCAGCTCTGATCTGTCAGGCTAGGAGTCAGTGCACAGACTAGAAGATCTCTTCCTGCTTCAGGGGATGTCCAGCAGCTGGGCAGTCGGCTGTGCCCTGGCTAACTGCCCTGCCCATGTCTCACTTCCCAGGTGACCATTGAAGTGGTGGACGATCCTCAGGCCGAGATGGAGATGGACTTGTTGAAGGAGACGAGCAACGACTGGTCCCTGACATCCTCTGAGTGGTTGTCCCACAAGGACCTCTTCTGGCCCCTCTTCTGGGAATACACTGACCCCACTGAGGAGGAAGAGGAGGAAGAAGAGGAAGACGACGACAACCTAGATGTAAGGGACAGGGAGGAGGAGGAGGAAGAGGAAGATTACGTGGCAGAGTATGAGGAGGAGGAGTCCATGCTAAGTGGAGTGGGAGGTGACTGGGACCAGCGGTGGCCTGGGCAGAAGAACTGGATCTTTAAGGAAAAGTATAATTATGGTGAGTCCCCTCAGTCCCACACAGCCAGCAGCCACCCTGCAGACCTGCCCAGCCTGACATAGCCCTCCCTGTGCTGCTAGGGAAGGCACAGCAGTCAGTGTCTTCCAGGCACCTGACAGCAGGCCAGCCCTGACGGGGGGACCAGCACCCTTGCACAGAGGATCGGAGCATGCTGGTGCTCAGTATCTGTTTAAAAAATAAGCAAGTGAACTGGGGAGAAGGTCCAGCATCCTCCTGAGCCTGCAGGCAGCCGGAAATGCCAGCATCGCAGCAGGGATTTCCCTTGCATGTAATCAGACCAGACTGCAGATTCTAGCGAAGGCACTTTCAGACTAGAAATAAGGTGTGAATGTTTAGTGCCAAGCGTCACCGTCATTGAAGCAGCTTTCTGAGGCTATGCCAGTGCCTGACGCCTTTGCTGCAGGCCTGGACATCTCCCGGGGAGCCAAGTTGCAGAGCATTAGGCGCTCGTTGCTGGGTGAGTGGGCAGGCCCGGGAGCGTAGCGGCTCCCTCCTCGAGTTTCTCATCTAAGAGCGCGCAACCAGCCAGTCTGTTTAACTGTCTCACGACCAGTCCTTTGGGCAGGTACAGTGAGGAAGGGGGTGGGTGGGCAGTGATGCCCTACTGCAACAGTAAGGCCATGAGCAAAGCTGCAGAAACTAAAAGCTTGTTTTTGACATCAGCAAATGTCAAAAACATTGCCCCCATCATGCCTCCTGTCTTTTGCTGACTCCTGCTTGTGATAGCAAGGGAAGGAGAGAAATCTGTACAAGCTAAATATATTCCCAGCCTCAGACAGTGACTGAGGAAGAGGTCCAGCCCTCCCCACTGTGTAAGAGCCCTGATCACTTCCTACAGGAAAGCCAGGAATGAGGACTTGGCTTTGAGACAGTATTTGTCAAGGCCAGAATTGGGGCTTTAATGAGGGTCATGGGGCTGCTGGCAAAGCCCGGCAGTGAGAGCTCTGGGGTTCCTTCCCTGAGTTGCCAGTGAGGGCACGTTTGGCTCTTGATATCACTTGGCAGGGCACCCCAAGGTCACTCCAGGTGCCCCAGGCAGCGCTGGCCCTGCTTGCCTCTAAAGAGTGTCTCTGCGATAGGGCAGAGCTGAGGGTGGCCCCAGGGACCTGGGGTGGCTCCAGGCTCCTCTCCTGTCAAGGCTTTATGCAAGGTTCACTGCTCACTCTGCTTGTCCCAGACTATGAAGATGAGGAAGAATGGAGCCCATGGTCCCCTTGCAGTGTCACTTGTGGCAGTGGCAATCAGAAGAGGACCCGGTCCTGCGGCTACGCCTGCACAGCGACAGAGTCAAGGACCTGCGACCTGCCACGTTGCCCTGGTGAGTCTCAGCCTTGGCCCGCTGGGCGCCATCCAAGCCCCTGCGCAAGGCTGGTGGTCCACGCGTCATGGCAGGGCAGGTTAGGCTTTCTGCCGGGATGGAGAGGGAGGGTCACACGGGGCGTAGGCTGCATCTGGTCTAACAAGAGATCTCTTGTTAATGGGGTAGCAAGGGGATGCTTGTTCCAGAAATGCACACGCTGGCCTCAGTAGTTATTGCTTTCTCTAGGACTCAAATGCCCAGTTCCTCTTCTCCTAGGGACTGCTCATGCTTCAAGAACTAGTTAGGTTTACTGTGATCCTGGTTAATGAAAATGGCTATTCATTTCTATTAAGAAGCGCTGGTGGGGCTGGTAGGGGAGCTTGAAATCTGTTCCTGAGGCTTACTGAGAGCCAGCTCCATCCACTGGGCTTTGTGTAACCCACAGTTTTAGGCCCTTTTGGCATAATCTATCCTATTTGTCTTCCTGTTGGACCTTCCACCTTCCACACACAGGGCAGTGCCACCAAAAACAGGAGAGGGGTTTGGAAGAGGGACAGCATCTGGTGCCCTTATGGAGAAACTGTCACTCCTCCTGATGTTCATCTTGGCCCTTTGCTTTGTCTTTTCTCTCTCAAGGAGCGGAGGGGGAAATGGCCTTCCCCACAGAAGAAACTCCTTTCAAAAGTGATAACACCACAGAGCTGTTAAACTCAGGTCAGCCTTTGTTTCTTCCTCGCACTGAGGGCTTGGGTGCTTTCTGTGCAAAACCCTATTGGGAGATGTAGCTGGCTTGCTGGGAGTGGAGATTTAGCTGTGTTGTAGCTAGTTGTGTTGGGAGACCCAGTTACCCTCACAGCCCTATTTTATGGTGTGCTGGCTGAAACCAGCCTACCTTGTGCCCTCCTGAAGCTTACTTGCGGTGCTGACGCTGCCAGCCCACCTCCAGTATTGGCAGATGGTGGGTACGCCGTGCAGAGTCCCCTGCTAGAGACAACTCTCTCCCCTGGAGGGAAACTCCTTCCTATTCTGTCACTGCCCTCGAGGATGGAGCAAGATGGTGTTTCTGGCCAGCCTCCCTCAGCACTCGCTCTTCCAAGGAGCATGGTAGCTTCTGTCTAATGGTTGCTAGCTCGCCTAACGCTGCTGGCTAGATTGCAGACAAATGCGAGCTGGATACAGAGGTGGCCTGGCTGCTCATGCTCTTACCCTTTTGGTGCATCTCCCCTAGATGTGGACAGCTGTGAGAAGTGGCTGAACTGCAAGAGTGACTTCCTCACCAAGTACCTGAGCAAGGTGCTGACAGATCTGCCCAGTTGCCCCTGTTCCTACCCACTGGAGGCCGTTTACAGTGCCGTGAACCTGCGGGATGAGCGCCAGGGCAAGAGCTTCCGCTGGCGGGATGCTAGTGGGCCCAAGGAGCGCCTGGACATCTACAAGCCCACGGCTCGCTTCTGCCTGCGCTCCATGCTCTCCTTGGACAGCACCACGCTTGCTGCCCAGCACTGCTGCTACGACGAGCACACCCATCTCATCACTCGGGGCAAAGGGGCCGGTGTCCCCAACCTCATCAGCACCGAGTTCTCCCCGGAGCTGCACTACAAAGTGGACATGCTGCCTTGGATCCTCTGCAAGGGGGACTGGAGCCGGTACCACGCTGTGCGGCCTCCCAACAATGGGCAGCAGTGTGCTGACAACCCCGCTGAGGAGGAGTACCTCTCCCAGCTGCAGGAGGCCAAGGAGTACTAGCCACTTGCCATGCTCAGAGGAGCCACAGGGCAGCAGGTCTTCCAAGCAACCTCGGTGGAGCCCCGGGCAGCTGGTGGCTCCTACCGCAGCCCAGGCCAGCAGGCTGTAATGGCTGCAGTCATCCCTTGCGTATCCCTTCCTTGGGAATGCAGCAGCCCAGCAAAGCCCCAGACCCTGCTCGCAGGCTCCTTATTGGTGCCAGGCAGAGGGGGGAGGATTTACCATCCATCTTGTCTTTTCAGAAGGGTACATCAGTTCCTTTCTGATTTCCAAGGACGGAGGAGATTATCACGGGGTGATCCCTGCCATGCCACCTCGGGGGGTAGATCTCACACCATCACTTCCTGTGGGTAGCGCAGAGCCCAGGGGATCCCTGGGCTGGAGAGGGGGGAGCTGGAGGGGATGGGAGGCAGCGACAAGCGTAAAGTGAAAGGGGAACTGCCCCCGTTTACTTTTTCTAAAGCATTCTGTGTGATCCTTCAACGCAACCTGTGAGCTGAGGACCTGCAGGGTGAAATGGCCTCAATTTGTGTTGGTTTCGCACTGCACCTGAGGAGCTGGCCAGGTGCAGGAGGATCTGCTTGGTCATGCCTGGACACCTGCCCTGGCATGTGCTGGCTCTCTTCTAAAACTTGGAGGGCAGGAGGGGCAGGGCTGCCCCAGCAATATGTAGTGTGGTGCCTCCCCTCTACTCTGCTTTTCACATTCACAACTGGGAAGGAACAGGGAGAAGCCTAATGGGTTTCATGGGCTCCTGGAAGCAGCTGGGACAGGAGGAGACTGACTGCCTCGGGTCCCTTTGCAAGATGGCCTTGCCACAGTGGTTTTGGCCATGATAGAAAACGGCAGTACCGCAGTGGTTTGGTTAAAGGAAGCAGATGAGCTGCAACGCCTGTTGCTGCCTGGAGGTGGTCCTGCCGAGGCTGCCTTCCTCTCTGGGGCTGTTTGAGTCCTGGTGCTCCCCCCCAAGTCTGAGATGCCCACCTGGCCACTCAGTGAGTTTTAGTCTTGCAGCACAGCGGCTCACTCAGAGCTTGTGTCCTGCTTGATTGGGGCAGCTCAGGGCCCAGCTTGCAGTTTGATCCTAAAGTTTCCACTCAACCTTAACAAACTAGCCCTGAGCAGGACCCCTACACCTCTCAGCAGACTGTCTGTGGCTGGGGCACACTCCAGCTACTGCAACTCATCCTAGGTTCTCATGAGTGATTTCAGGGAGTGGAGATTTGACCTCAAACTGATTGCTTTTAGTCAACGGACCACATGCCTGCAAAAGCATGTGGCAGCAGAGACATTTGGGGGCACTGTAATGCCCATATTGCTGTTTTCTACTCTCATTAAACCTCAGGGGTCAGTTCCCCATGGTGATGAGAACAAATTAGTCACTACTGTGAGCATCAAATGTTACTCCCTTTCCAGTCTACTGCTCAGCACTCTGGCCCTTCTCTATGGTGTATTTGCCCAGATCCCCAACAAGAGGCAGCTCAGAGAAAGCAAGTTGTAGTCACACCATTTTGTTCTCTAAACTTGCTGCTTGGCCAAGGTGAGCCTGTGAGACTCGAGCTGCCTCTGCCTAGCATGTACTGTCAGTCTCTGCGCATGGGACAATTTTCTCAGTGCAACGCCAGGTGCAGGGTGAGAATGCCAGCTGTGGGAGCAAGGAAAGGGATGAAGTGGTTTAATTCCTCCCCTACCCTGACGAACAAGAAAGCTTTCCAGATAGCCTCTATTTTCCCCATCTTTCCATCTCATCCCATTGCTGTGGATCATTCTTCAGCTGTGTGCATTCTTCTCCCAGAGATGGTTGTGTCCTGTGCAGTCGGAAGAGCCCTAGAGCAGGTAGTTACCAGTTCTCCACACAGAGCTATGCTATTTCCATTGCTGCTGCTTTGACAGGAACGCGAGCATGTAGAAGAAGAGCTGATGTGTCACAGGAGAGTCAAGTTTGGACTACATCAAAGTGGCTCCAATTGAGGAAGATGTACACATGCTAACAAAGATGTCATTAATTCTTGGAGTCTGCGGATCACAAATATGACACTCCATCGCCACCTTGGTCTTGCCTGGGTTTTCCAGCTTTTCACAGGTCCTTGGTAGTTTTCTCCCAGCACGTTTTGGGAATGAGCTTCAACGCTCCCAGGCTTCCCACAGAGAAACTAGGCCAAACATCTTTATCTCTGGACGTTGTGTAGCTCAACCTGGCAGAAAACGTTCACAGCTTTCTTTTAGCAAACTTTATGCAGCAGAAGAAATAAAAGAGGAAGTCAAGCAAAAATAAAGAAGGCTGGAATCATTTGCAGATTAAAGATTTTAACCAAGGTGGTTGGTTACTCCATATTTTTCCGCAGAGTGCTGTTAAATGCGATGGCATCTATCTAAGTTCAGAGGATTGATTGTTCTATGCTGTTTCTGTCCTCGTTTCATCCGCTTTCTCCAGGGCCAGTAAATATACAATCTGCTAGCTCTTTGGGGAGTCCTCCTAGGACTCTTGTATGTGTTGATTCTTTTGACTTTGTTATTTATAGAATATTGCAGCCTTGGTCATGAGTGCATAGGGCTTCATTGCTGGTAAAACAAAAGCATTTATGAAATTATCACTGAACTATCCTTGTTTAACTATTACACAACTCATAGCCACAGACCCAAGTTACGGGTGCTATCAAAACATAGGCAGGTACAGGCCTTTTCCCAAAAGGCATGCAGTCTAAGATGAGAAGTCTCATGCAAAGGGTGAGAAGGAAGATACAACCAAATAAGCATGGATGGAGACCCAGATTCTAGTAAATATCAGTGACCGTTACATGCCCAACTGTTCATTTGTTAACTGGTTTCTTGTAAAGAGATAGTTCACAAGGAGGCAGTAACGAGGGGATGGCAGTGACCCGAGCAGCTTGGTTCTGGGAGCTTATCATATGTGCAAGGGAGCTCACTGAAGAAAAGGTAGAGATATTTGTACAGGAAGCTGACCGATTGAATGACCGAGGCTGTGGAAGGATGAGCTTGTTATCTTTTGTCACCCAATAGAGCATCCTCCTATTTCCTCTCCCATTTCAAATGTCATCACTTAACATAAGAGGATTCTCAGAGAAGTTTGTCTAGAATTCATGCATAGACTTCTTTGAAATAATCTTTGAAATTAAACATGGGTCCAATATTGGACCTTGCATTGAGCCCTCCGCTAAAACCTAGGTGAAAGCCAAGTGGCTATTCTGCCTTGCTTCCTCTGAGGTTTGACAGGTTTGATACAGGCATGAACTGGAGCATGAGAAACAAGAAGCAGTGTTGTTCTTCACACAAGCACCTTACACACCAGGAGTCTTTGCAGAGCACCGTAAGAAAAGTAGACATGAAGCAAGCATTTATTTTTATATCCCATCAAAGATTCTGTCCAGCCCACCCCTATTTAAGCGATGAATCTCTCAGTGTCTACTCCTTAAGTAAGTTTATTATTTTATATGTATAATATATATGAAGTGCCTTTTATTCCTACAAAATTTCATAAAGAATTCTTTATTCTGACTCTGCAATAAAGCACTTTATTTAATATGTATGTGTTGCTGATGTTCAGTTGGGGCTGAAGTGTATGTTGCTAGAAAGTTTTGCTTTGTTTAAGAGGGATGACACCTTGTTTAATGCTGCATACTTTGGGCCTCTAGCCACAGCTGTGTCACAAGGACCCTGGTGAATTTGCTTCCTTCTCTTACCATTTGCATTTGATGGTGTCAGGCAAACTTCAATAGCAGAGATGCATGCAGAAATTTCTGAATGTTGCAGATGGCACTTTCCAGCTTGTCATGAAGGAGTCTGATTTTCCTGGCCTGGTGACATTTTGATGCTCCCATTCCCAGTCAGAAGAAAGCAGAGAAGCATGCAAGCCAGGATACTTTCAATTACTTTAATAATAGTGATTCAAATCCCAAAGCCTTCAATTGTGAGGTGGTGCAGGAGGTTCAGGACTAGTATTCTTTCCAAGTATTTTGCTCACGCCTAGCATGTTAAATTATCTGCTTCCTTCATACACAATATGTATTGTTTGCAATGATGGTAGTTTAAGAAGAGGGGCAAGTGATGCTGGTGGATAGGGACTGTGCTGTTGAGACTTACTCTGTGTGTGTCTGTGTGTGTGTGTGTGTGCGTCTGTGTGTGTAAAGTGAATGTAGAGGCTTTAACCCTCCACCCCCCAAAATAGATTCTAGACAGCTCTTACAAATAAACATTTTTGTTATCAGTTTGTCTGTTCTGTGATGCTTGGAAACTTGATCCCACAGGGCTCCCAACTCGATGGCTGCAGCCCCACATAGGTGAGCGTGCAAGTTTGGTGCAGAACAGCCACATCAGATTTGAAGGGGTTTGAGTACTTAGCTTTAGGACTATCCTTCCATAGCCTCTGGGTTCCCTGTGTTTCTGAATCATCCCAAGGCTTCACACTCCAAAAGTGGCCTTAGAGAGATGTAGGTGAAGATGGTGGTGCAGGTGGATGTAGATCATGTGCTAGCCAGAGGCCTGAAGATGGCATAGCCCAGTAGATGGAACCACAGTATAAAAAACAGGTGAAATGCTATTATTTTCTTTGCTCTCCTCATGCCTTATTGTATGACTTTCAGCACATCATTTTTCCACATATCTATTAACTTACCTCACCTTTCCCCACCTCTTATTTTCTCTGGTTAGTCTCTAAACTCTCTACCATGCCCTGAGAGCAGAGAAAATTGCAAGGTGCTGATGAAATAAAACTAATAGCCGAAGGAAGACAGGGACTAAGGTCCTGGGAATGGGAGACAAAGGGATATCCAGAAAATGCTGTGAGAATTCTAGTGAAAAGATAGTATCCTGAGCCCTCCATCATGGCCACAAGTATGTGAAAGACTGGTCACAGTGAAGGAAACGTCTCCTAAGAGCAGACTGTCAGGGTCAGTGCTGAGAAGTAATTGAACCTTGAAGCCAGGTTTTATTCCACACGCAGCCTAGCAGTATCTGGGTGCCTGCTGACCCTACTGCTTTAAGCAGATGTTGAACATGGGAGTGGGTGGAAAAAAAAAAAAAACAAAAAAAACTGCATCACCACAGCTGGGAAACTGATTTGACAAAATGTTTCTGGCTACCGCCTCCTTAGCCAAAAGGTAATGATAGCAGAGGGATATGTAAAGCTTTCCAGGGATCACAACTTTTTGTTGCTGTTAATTTGTTGCACAAATTCTGACCGTTTCCAAGCTCTTGCTATTTCCAGCTGTTTTCCTTCCCTCTCTCTCGCTCCTTTTTCATTCTGCTGGCTGCACATCTGTCAGGGTTTATCTGCAAGTCCAACACGTGGCTCTGCTCCACAGCTGCTTGGCGCCATTGCTGGCCTCTGTTCGAGGAGGAGCAGACGGCTCCTCTCGGCGAGGGATGTTTTGTCACGCTGAGCTTTCCACAAGTTTTCTGCAACATCAGAAACATTGTTGCTTGGATCCCAATCCAGAGTGGGGGGAATGGGCTGAGCTCCACTGTGCAGGAAAAGTAGCATAGAAAAAAAGTCACTCCTACCCTGGTGTGGCAGTCAATAGTTATTACTGTGTATAACGGGCCTAATGCTTCATTCCCCTGAGACGAGGCCCCTGCTGTGCTGGATGCTGAGCCCTGCTCCAAAAACTCCTGAGCTATAGAAATCCCATAGCCAAAGGAGGGGAAACAGGAAGAATTAATACCCTAATTTTGCAGGTGTGGAAAGGAGGCAGTAAGGACTGGAGACGTTACCCAAGGTCACACAGTAAGTTTCTAGCGAGCTAGAGTCTTGAGCTGTATCTTTGCCCTCTGCTTTAGAGACTAGACTTCTTGATTTGTCTTGCCTTAATTTGCCGGCTTGCCAAAGCAAGAGCTTCAGCTGTACCAGTTCTCTGACATCTGACTCATAGCTAAGTTAATTCATACACAGACAGATCTGTGCCCAGATTTTGTTCGGCGCGATGTTGTCAGCATGTGCTTGCCCCTGCTGACCTTCTGTCTTTGCCCCAAATGAGTAGGGAGTAGGCAGTGCAGAGACCTTTTTACTGTGAATGACATTTCAAAGGGAGCCTTGCATGGTTAGCTGCCTGGGGACAGGGAGGCTATCGCAGGGAAGAATGTGGGATTTCATAGGAACATGTTTATAGCAGCAGGGATCCCACTAATTGTTTGTTTGTTTTCAGGGCTCCTGCTCCAGGAATCTGCTTCTTGGGAAATGCACAATAAAGCCCAGCTGGGCCCAGAATGAGCCACTCCAGAAGAGAAGACAGAGGCTGATATAACCAGATGAGTTTGGCCAAAGCCCATGGAGCAGACCTGAACCACAAGGCCTGGCCTTAACCTATCAAAGCGGTTGTGATGTGCTGTGGGCCTCGAGTTAAAACTTTGGAGAGGGAAAAAATCAACCCTTTCAGGCAGAACTCAAGCAGTCTGCTTCCTGGCCTGCAGAGAGCCTCCACTGCATGCCACACATCGCGCCCTTCCAGTGGTGTGTGTGTTGGTGGGGACAGTGTGGCACACAGCTGCCAAGGTCGCCATGTAAGAGTAAAAATTACATGAGCTGCAGTTTTCCAGCCGTAGCCCTGCTGGCTGCAGCATGAAGACTGGGCTAAGAGGTGCTCGTGACAGAAACGGGTTTCCGGAGCTGTGTTTTAGTCCTGCATGTTGAGACTCCCTCCTCACGGCTCGGCGTTCCTGCTCCTGGCCCCGGCCACCGTCAGGTCACCCTCTCCTCGCCGCTCTCATTTCACTGACACCCTCACCCAACACAGAGCCACACTGCAGCCTTGGGGATGCTGCAGCCGTGCTGGGGCAACACTGCCAAATGTATCTGCCAGCTGGGCCTAAGTCCCCCCATCTCCACAGAAGAGGGACCTACACGTTTGCAGTTGGAGAAGGAATTTCTCACCCTCCTTTCCCGGCAATGCTGCCGACAGCTGCCCCCTGGAGATGCAGGAGACGAGCCCAGCTGGCCGGGCCCATCCCCTGCTTTGTTCCAGGTCCTTGAAAGCATTTCAGCATTTCTTTGCTCACCACATGGAAACCCAGCAGTAGGGATCCTAACTCCGCTCCCCACGGCCCCCGTGCAGCTCGACTGCGGAGGACAGGCGGACACGGGCTGGGGGCCTGGCGGCAGAGTGGGTCTGACATCTCCTCGCCAGGTGGGACCAGCCAGGGAGGACACCAGCCCTGAGGACAGCCAGCCTCAGATTTCAAGGCTTTGAGCGTGCTTACAAAGCAAGATACCGCTGCCGCTGCCGGGGAATGTTTTTTGAGAGTAGTGGGGTGTAGAGGAGCAGTCTGAGGACAGCCTCAGCAGCACAAGGTCTGTCTTCAGCGCAGATACCACACCAGCAGTTGTCCCCTCTCCTGCCAACAGGCCTTGGGTCATGCTTACAGGGGCCAGAAGCCATAAGCCATGCTTGTTGTTTACTAGCCAGTGGCTAAAGCCATCCGTGCAGGCAGAGGCAGGTAGCGCCCAGAGCGTTGGGTGCCCTCGTCGGCGTGCCTTGGCCTGCTGTCACCCCCGCCCACACCACCCTGGCCTTGTCGAGCCACAGCAGTGACAGACCAGAGGCGGAGCTGACTGTCCCCAAGCTGGTTCTTGCGAGGAGCACCAGGCATCCCACAGGCATCAGTCCTGTCCTCCTGGGTGAGGGTGAAACCAGGCACTGCGGCTCTATGTCCTTGTGGGGCGCCTCCAGCCGGGACCAGCGCTTCCTCTCACCCCAGCTGTCACCCCGGGGTGTCCCTGGACCTGGCTCCCTGAACGAGCACCTTTCCCCGCTGGTCCCCAAGGCCACCATCTCCGTTTGCCTGGCAACAGCATGCACGAGGAAGGACCTAAACTCTTGTCCCATCTCTTGGACAAGCCCTCCCTGCCCAGTTGCGTTTCCTCGGCAGCAGGAGGAGGTTCAGGATGTTCATAACCTCCTTTGGCAGACAAAACGCGCCTGCGTCATGACAGAGGTGCCATAGTGCCCAGGCCAGCCCCGCAGCACCCCAGCACGGCAGGGCCCTCCGCTGCCACCAGTGATAGGAGACTTGTGGCAGCTTGGCTACCACCGGCTTTGGTTTGCAATGGCCACGGTGGAAGCTGAGGCTGCAGCCGACAGCTGAGGCTGTCGGGTTTCTGAAGGGCCAGGAGAAAGCCCCACAGGGCATTGCACTGAGGGACGTACCACAGAAAACAGGTTTAGAAGGGATCTTGAGAAATCACGTAGCCTTCCTCCTGCCACAGGGACATGAGCAAATCATTCCTCACCCACAGGTCTCTCGCTCTCTCCTGAGCCTAAAGATCTCCAGTGATGGAGATGCCACAGTAGCCCACAGCTTTACCGTTCTTGCAGGAAGAAATATTTTCTTAGCAGCTAACCTAAATCCTTCGTGCTTTATTTTAATTCCATTGCATCTTATCTGCAGTGGTCCCAGAAAGCATACTATTTCCTTATTTGCTCCTACCTCTCACATATTTGCAGAATTTTATCACTGTGCTTCCTATTTCCCTCCTCCCCGCCCCCAATCTTCTCTTCTCTAGACTAAACAAATCCAATGCTTTGACTCTTTCCTTAATATTTCTAGACCTCTGATCATTTTCATTGCCCACCACTGGACTTGCTCCAAGTAATTCTGATCTTTCTTGAAGTATGAAGCCCCAAACTGAAGCCACAGGGTCTCATTGGATGCTTTCTTAATGCTATATGGAAAACTCTATTCCTGAGGCCTACATAAACCAGGAGCTTTTGTGCTGATTGTTTATTGCCTGATTATCTTGGTATTTACAAATTCACTGATTGTATTTTTCAGGATTTTTCCCATGAATTGACATTAGAATCTCTGGTCTACTTTGTCCTACTTCTCTTCTCTCTCTCTCCCCTCTGCCCCCTTCCCTCCCATCTCTATTGAATTTTCAGATTGCTCCAGTTCCCCAAGCAAGTCTCTTAGGGTAAACTGCCTCAAGCCCAGTCACGCTGGAAATATCCAGCTTCTTTTACCCTGGCTTTATTTGTAAGTTCTTACCACACTGCCACTGAGGTAGAGGGTTGAGCTGATGTTTCAAAGCATTTTTCATAATTACCTAGGTTAGGGGGTTTCAGCCTCTGATCTGTGGCCCCACTTTCCCTTTTGAAGGTTCACATACATAAATAACTGCAAAACACATTAGAAGGGCAAAGTGATCCATATCATAGGTCCACCTAAACCACCATCCAGTCTCTAACAGAGGTCAGTAGCAGGTACATAGGAAGAGTAAAGAGAAGGACAAACGTGTTGCTGCTTCCCTGAAATAACCACCCAGGTGCCAGCATCTGGAAGCCAAGAGACTTCTTGGACCAGAGGTGGCAGTTATTCTGTTTAATAGCCCTTGGTGGATTTTGCCCTCCATTAATTTGTCCGCTCCTGTTCTGAACCCATGTAAATTTTAAGCATCCATAACACCCATGGCTGTCCAGGAAATTCCCAGGTTCCCTGAGCATGAGAACCATTAGCTTTGCTTGTTGTGACCCTGGGTTTTTTTCATTTGATGGTTGCTCCTTACTTGTCATCCTGCCTTACAACTGTGTAGCCATCCAGCAGAGCACCAACTCTGACCTCTCATCACCGTGAAAAACTCAGTTTACTTCAGTCTCCGTTTCCTGTTTTCTTTAACCTTCACTTTCTTTAATTCACAAGACTTTCCCTCTTATCCCTTGTCAGTTTAGTTTCTTTTAAGAGCCTTCGGGCAGGAGTACACAAACTTGCTTTTCTTCCTCATCTTATATAGCCCTCCCCTCACCAAATAGCTGAGGGACTGCAAACTCTGTTCAGATCTCCTGATGCTTCCAAGTAAAACAAAGGTCTGGGATTTCTCATTAGCATCCGTATGGCTGCACCAGATGTCAGCTTTAGATGAACAAGTGCGATGCTTCGCGAGAACAGGCAGATGTTGCACAGGGACTTTTACTGTCACGAAGCAACTTAAGGCTTGGATTGCCTTCACTAAGCAAACAGCAGAAGTATTGCAAGCCACTACCATGGCTGCGTCAAGTTAGAGTTGGCATAACCTGATCTATTCAGTGTCTCAGGCTAAATGCTAGTTCATAGTTCAGCGTCTTAGCACAGGCTTTCCTTCACTGATGGTTTAATCTAATACATTTGGGTTGTGAACAGCCAAGGCATGGCTGCACATCCTGTTCGGCTGCTTTGGGGAGAGTGATTTCCAGCCCAAGAAGCTGGGAGCCAGCTGGGACAGCACCAGCATAACTTACGGCAGTCAGTTTTGCTAGATGTCTACCAGAGCTCTCAAACCGCCTGTGAGCAAAAGCCTGAGTCTGCACCGCCCTGTGCTTGCGGGCTGCCAGCGGAGGCCATAGCATGTCCTATTAGAGTAGCAGCAGGATGCCCGAAGTAAACCCGTGTTTGTGATGGAAGGAAGGCAATTAAAATTCCACTTCAGCTGCCTTCCTGTCCCACTTCCTAACCTTCCAGCAGCAGGTGATTAGCGCAGCCTGCCTTCTGCTGCCCTCTGCTCAGCTACACTGGAGCCAACCTCACTGTCCAGGAGCACTGCTGCCACAGCGTGGCTAGCTGCTGCCACAGCTAGTAAAATACAAAAAAGATGCTATAATTCAGGTACCAATTTTGTCTCAAGTTAAATCAGAACTTATTTCTCTATTTTGAAATAATTTTGCTTTCCTTACATCAAAGCTGTTATCTTGTCTGTGAACAAATCGGCCGAGCGGGCTATTTAAGGTTTTCTATGTTTATGTCTAGCACTTCCCAAACAGAAAAACATACATGATTGCTGCAGAGTAATGCCAGTGTGCTTATATCATGTTCGGCTCCTGCAGTCTACCCGCTGCATACAGCAGTACATCTGTGCATAAGCATCCTGGCAAAATACCTACAGTCACTTTTCTAGCAAAAGAGGGAAACGTAATATTGTAAGGCTTCCCTACGTCCAAGTGCCTAGTGTTTCATACAGCTAAAGTTCCAGCCATAGGTCAGCGGTGATAAATACACCACACAGAACTTAAGTTTCATATCAAACTCTTGAACTTGGGCACAAACTGAAACACAGGAAACTCCACTTGAACATAAGAAAACACTTCTTCACTGTAGGGTGGTTGAATATTGCAACAGGTTGCCTAAGGAGGTTGTAGAAATACTCAAAACCCAACGGGACCTGGTCTGGGGCAACCTGCCACTGACCTTGCTTGAGCAAGTGTCCAAAAGGTCCCTTCCAACCCCAACTACTCTGTGATTCTGTAACTTTATGTTCATATGCACTATACTGTGAATAAACACTTTGGAATAACGATGGGAAAAGACTAGAAATGTTTTCCCTGTTTTAGTAAACAAATATACTTACTTGAGTTGCCTTTTAAATAGGCACTAAAGTTATTTTCCCAAGTCCTCTACTGATGGCTACAACATGCCATTAAGAAGGAAACAAATGAAACCAGTTCTTACCCAGTAACATTATTTAGTTAGCTAGAGCTGCTCTGCAGATTACCCCATACTATATTAGCGGGAAATGCAATATATAGTTCATCCCTCAAAGGCAAAATTGAGTACTTCAGTCACCCTAGATGTTAAGCATTTCTCACTGGAACTAGCTTTCCCCCTCCCCCCCCCCCGCCCCCAAGACGTTTAGTCACCTTAGAAGACGACATCTCCATGAACTGTACTAGCAGGAAAGAACAAGTGATTTTTCCCTTCCTCACCAGTAGAATAAACAGCTGAAGTGGAGTCAGCCAGGAATACTGCACCTTGTTTGTTTTACAAGAACAAATCTCACTCCCACTGAGAGCCAAGTTTGCTTTGGCTTGAAGCTCTTGGAGGTAGCTAAACCTGGACCCCAGACCCTTGCTAGAACACCCTCTTATACGTGAGAGTTTTCCTAGCGGTGGTTTGCTTATCTCCTTGGACACTGGGCGACTAAATTATATGCATTCTTATGCAGCAGGCTAGTACGCTAAGTGCAAAAAGGATGGTGTTGAAGAGGGGGATGTGCAAGAGAAGAGAAATAGCTTCAACAAGGCCTTAGATTCCTTCAGAAACAGAAAGGGTTTAAAACACTTACTAGCGGCAGATCAAAAGCAGAGAGAAATTGAGCAGCTGCTCAGACTAAAAACTGCATCAAGCTCATGCTCTCTACTCACCCAGAGGTGAGAAGTAAATCACATTGGGATCATCACTCTTCATTGATCAATGTTTTTCCAGCCATATCCCTCCCTTAGTCTAGCCACCAATCCTTTGAACTCAAGCTCATCTGAAGACACAGACTTCATGGTGTTTTTTTTAAGTTAGGTTTATTTAGGAATAGAAGTATGTACACGTAAGAGAATCCCCTGCAGCACGAGACATGCACAAAGCAGTGAGGGACTGAAAGTGGCGCTGCTCAATGGCCTTATCTGTCATCCCACTCTTCCCAGCAGAGGACCAAGATTAGAAAGGGACAAGTGAGAAATGTATCAGTCCGTGCGGCAGAGTCTCTGAGCAGAGCCTTCCCAGCAACCAATGTTAAAACAAGCGGGCGCCATAACCAAATGTCTGTTTAATGCCCTCAAAGTAGTAGCGCTGCCAGCCTTGCTTTGTTCTTTCCTCCTCACTGGCAGGAACGCCCTTGCCTTCCAAACACACTTCTGTCTCACCACCTTTGTCAGTGAAGTTCAAGGTAATTGTTGCAAAGTGCCCTAGAGGAACCAAAGCAAATCTGTCAGCAGTGTGCAGTATAGTACCAGCTGCCCCAAGGAGCTGCTCTGCTCCTCTTCCCACATAGCACCAAAAAACGCCAAAACAACAACAACAAAAAACCAAACCAAAAACACACTCTCCAGGATCCTCTCCAGAAGGATCTATTTATGACAGTGGCAGGTCTTTGTTAGAAGCAGAGGGAGGAGAGGGCTCCCTTCTCGTATATACATCTCAAAGCAGTTGCAGTGGAGCAAGCCACTACTTCATTGCTCCTAATCCCTGACTGCTGCCCTAAGCAGCGGCTCATGGATCCGACCCAGTCATTTGGGATATGAAGCTAGGAAAAGATTGGTGCCGTTCCCGGAACGCTGCATGTGCCTTCCCACTCCCTCCCCATCACTAGCTGGAGGGCAGTGCAGTAAACGGGACTGTAATTCTTTGAACACAGGCAAGGGCTGCGATATCATAGTCAACTTTTGGACTACTTACCAGCTGGCCAAGATTTAAATCTCCACTTCATAATAAGTTGCTTCTCAGGGACCTAGGAAAGAGAGAAATGACTGAGGACTAGTATTTCTTGCAAACTCTGCCATCTTTAATAGAAAAGAACTAAAATTGTGTTTGATCTGAAGTCTTACAATCACTTGACAAACAAAAAATAGTATCTTAAAGCTGCCCGTTCTTTCCACCCCTTTACCAGGAAGCCAGGCCAGACTAGACCCGAGGCACATAAGTCAAGGGCTTAGAAAAAAAGTAAGTTGGGAAGTCTCATAGATTCCGACTCGTCTACAACCTACAGAACAGGGGAGCAAGTTCTGAATATTGTACATCATGTTCAGAGATTACATACTGCTGTAAGGAAGCCACCAAGACAAATTCCTGACACAACAGAGTCTCAAACACTGATGTAGTGTCCCCGTTGAGAAGACTTAAGTGGCAAGAGGCTTAAAGTGGAAAAGGGTCAGTCACTGCTTCTGAGCTCCGTCCCCCTTACCCCCGCAATTAAATAAACAAAATAATTAAAAAGCAGAAAACAAACAAACAACGACCCACACACAGTAACAGGGCAGACGCAGGACTAGAAGTCAGATTTTTTTTCACGAAGCTAACCTCTTGTACATTAACTCCTATTATCTTCCAGCAAAAAGGAGACCTTCAGTGGCTGCGGTGATTATATATAACCATCTGGCACCAGGGAGGGATTCAGGATTAGCGAACTGAAAGATTGTTACGGAATAGGTGCATCAAAACTAACATGCTCCCTCCTGAGCCAGATACAGCTACACTGGCTAGTACTTACTAGGTCAACAAACTCTCCTGTGACGCTGCCATCCAGCAACTGAAACTTGCCTCCTTTATCAGCCTCCAAGGCTGCTTGTGCGTGGGTGAAAGCTTGGACCATCTGCAAAGAATTCAGGAGGAGACCTGTATTACTTGACATTTTCTGCTTGCAAACTTGTTGCTTAATGCTTCCCACCCAACTACAAAAGTTCCACAACTTCTGGAAGAGTAGGAAAGTCCATAGTGTAAGGTCTTTATCAAGAAAAGACAAAAACCCTGTCCCAGCCAGAAAAACAAGGTTAGAGCCACTAGGGCAGGATTTTGCTTGTCAAGGGAAAAAGAAACCCTAGCTTTCATTATTTATTCTGTGCATTTACTCTCTAAATCACACTTCTGATTTGATCCGTTGATCCCTGAATGAAACCTGGTTCTACAAAACCATTGTATTTTAGCTCTTTTTTAAGCAGAGGCAGAAAAGACTAAGAGCATGTTTGCAATAAGGAACAGAGTGTAGTATTGTATCTTTAACCATGCAGTAGTGCGCAGGGAGGAATCTATTCCTTAAGGAGCATTTCTCTGGCTTTGAGCCTGCCTAACCTTAAAAAGAACAAATCCACTCTCCCCTCCCCACCCCGGACTGTAAATCCCAAGAGATCTGATCACATGCAGAAAGGGGTGCGCCTACAGACAGGTGCTGAGAAGTGCCTGCAACTGGTTTCTGGCTGGCATTAATCCACTCTTTTCAGCTGTGTGAAAAGGTGCACATACGAGCTTTAAGCAACTGTTTTGCAGACCAGCTTTCTCATTCCACTCTTATGCATCAGGAGTATCCTGCAGAACACCTTACAAAGCTTCTTTGGAACAGCCATCTCTGTGCTAAGAACAGCCATTCTCAAAACAATCCTGGACTTACCTCCTGAGTAACAAACACTCGATAGAGCTCCTCAGGAGATGTTAAGAAGGTGTCTTTTAAGCTGATCTTACATGTAGGAATCTTGACTCCTATTGATTTGGACTGTGATGTTGCTGTACTGCTGCTAGCAGCGGTCTAACAAAACAAACAGCATTGAAGCACACACGTACTTCCCCCCTACCGACCAAACCTCAACAAGCAAACGCACATCTAAGAGAAATAGAGATCTTATGGTAAAATAAGATATACATATTTGAGCATATAAGGCAGATTTAACACTCTACTTGAACTTAAAAAAATATTACATGCTGCGAATGGAAACAGTCAGGCCTGCACCACAGATTGCCAGTATATATCTTATATACATATATATGTGTATGTATCTTCTAAAGAGAACAAGTTGCTGTTGTAAGCCCTAGTATCTTATATGCTCTATGTTTCTTCAGAGATCCCCAAAACATATGTGCATAGTTTTGTTTACCTTGCGGTCTTCTGCTTTAGGTGCCACCTGAGGTGTTGTTTCCATATGCTCACCATTCATTGTGGGCAAAATCATGCCCTGGGTGAATTCTGAAAAGACAGGAAAGTGCCCAGGAAATCAATACAAGATCAAGTAAACCTTTTAACTGATCTTTGAAACACATAATCACAAAGGGCTTTCTGGTTTCTCCCCTGCTCACTAGTACCAACATCTTTAAACCAGTTTAAAGAAAAGAGGGGAAAAAAAACCCCAAGAATCAGGCCTCATTTTATAAGCAATTGTTTCTTTTGCCCTCAATACTCTCCACTGACAGCTATGACCAAAAGCTGAGTACACTAAGTTAGGAACTTCCTTCCTATTTCCAGCCCAGACAGACTTATCACCATCTTACACATGTTGCTCTCAAATCAACATCAACCTTATACTCAATTTGCTTTTCTCTCACTCTTCAACATAAAGAGCAATCACATCTCAAATACTTCTACGTTGCTGGTCTAAAGAAATTCATTTCTTTTTTGATGGGCTCTCCGTTTTTCAAATCACTGTAGCGCAGAAAACAAGTCGCTTCTAACTCCATCTTCAGTTTATCTTTTTTGACAACAGATACCAGGGCTCTGCATGGAATTCCAGGTTAGCTCTCACCAGTGCACTATACAGCAGCACAAGTGCTTTTGCAACTCCACCAGAAGCTTCAGCCTCTTTTGTCATCATGTTTGCTTTTTCTACAGCTCTGTCAGTTCTGCCTTTGCCAATTATAAAACACTTTGGTCCTTCCCCTTCCTCTTCAGCTGTTCAAACTGGCAAAACGACATCATACAGCAGAATTTTATTAAAATGTGCACTACTGAGTTGCCATCTATTCCTACTTATTGCAGCCCACAAGATCTTATGGCTCTTTCTGAGTAATATTCTCATTTTCCACTGGGAGACGGCACCTCCCAACTTTAACACTAAAATGCTTTAAGACACCCAGGGGTACGGAAATCTGATCCTGGAAAAGCAGTGAACAGTGATAGTTTGTACTGAGCAAAACCTGAATGTCTCATGTGTCTGGTGTAAACCCAGTAAGTAGATATAAAAAGCATCTCTAGTGTTCCCAGTCATGCTAGAGAGCAAAGCAGAACTCAACCAGAGCGTACTGATTGAACTCGAACTGCTGCAACCAAGGAGACTTACCTTCTAAAAAAACAATTGTTCCAGATGCTAAGACAGTTCATTCAACACTACCAAAACTTGCACAGCAACTTCAAATTGTCAGTTTTCCCTCAAACCGAAACTGCACTAGATGCACCCCGTCTTATTAGCATGACGGAAGAGAAAAGCAACAAAAACTAGTAAGCCAGAAAACTAGAAAGAAAACACCACCTTCCAAGAGAGCAAGCAAGCCAAAGGCCAGATTGTGCCACACGCAGTAACTGATACTCTGTATTACTGTGGTAGCAAATACACGTTTTACTGGCGTCATTTCCTCTATTGCTGGCCTTCAAGTGCGTAAAGGACATGCTCAGTTTTAAAACATGCTTCAGAAACCATTGCTTATTATTTGATTCTCACTGAAGACAATGTTTTGTGGATGTGCTAGAGAATCTGGACAGAATTGCATCCTGAAAAAACACTAGCTTTTTTCAAAGGAGACAGAAAGATGACTGCTGTCGCTTAGACACCTTCCTATTGAGATGAGGAGAGGAACTGCTATTCCTGCCTCCCTTTTCTCCAAGCCTTTATTTAGCACTAGCCCATGGAGGTCCCAAAACACTTCTCAGTTACCTACCTGTTTTGAGAGTGCTGATGTAAGTTTTCATTGCATCTCTTATTTTTTTTGTACCCTCTTGCTTCATCAGGGTCTTCAAGTTAGTGTCAGGCTCATCTTTAGCAAGGCTGACAAGGATCTAAACCAAAAGTACAAGTACCAGTTAAAAAAGCCACGCTTACATAGTCTTTTTATTACTCAACATCACAGTTAGGCTTAGACCTGAGCTTTCACAAGACGCTGTGCCATCTTATAGTCTTTCATTTCATCTACTGCCAGCCTATTATAACGTACACAGCTAGCTGAATCGATTCACGTGCTATAGATCCACTATATCTACAAGACAGGAATTTCTTTGATAAAGATACAACATGAGTTTGAGCAGTCCCTAATGCTAAAAAGGCCCTCTGCGATTACTTTGGAAAGATAATATGGAAATATTAACACTCTAAGCACTCATTAAACAGCACTGCAGTCAGTAATATTAGCCATTAGTTTACCTCAACTTCATCAATGTCATTTTCATCCGAGAGATTAGGAATCTCCACATACCCTTTATACTTCACTCCTGTCTTTGAGGTGCCTGCAACAGCAACGATGTTCAGATCAATGTTTCTTACTCTACTTGTTCCAAGAGCAACCTTGTATCGTATCACAAAAAAATTACTTTTCTTTATTATTATTTCTTAGAGGAAATAAGTGTCCTTAATCCTATACTTGAACCTGGCTGTGAAACAGGAGAAGAGAACATCACTCACCGGTCCATGCCAGCTTAATAGCCCACTCATAGAAGAAGATTAGTTTCCCTTTGCGGTTATTAATTGAGGCTTCTCCATCCAATTTGCTCACTTCTGTCACCTCGCAGGCCCCCTCCTCACCCTCCACCCTGACAGGCAGGAGGAGAGTTTTAAGCCGTTCCGTGGACCAGTTGGAGGCATCCCGCTCCGTCCTGCGGGAAGAGAGCAGTGGCGGGGGGCGGGCGGTGAGCATCTGGGACAGGCCATGACAGGCCGCAGCAGGGACTGCCTG